TCTCTCCTTCCCTCTACCTCCCCCTCTTCTCCCTTCCCCCTCTCTCTCTCTATAATAATAATAATAATAATAAATAATTTGACGAGAGTCGTTTGTGGCAATTGTGAAATTAGATTATTTGCAGATGATGCACTAATATATACAAATAGGCCATACAAGCCAAGAAATAAATGACAATCTTAATATACAGATGTAAAAAAATTGAGGAATGGTTGAAAAATAATAGACTGAAATTAAATGTGAATAAAACCAAAGTTATGCTAATTAGAGGTATTAAGAAAAAAGTATCGGAAAGTAATATAAAAGCAAAACTAGAAGATGCAACATTAGAAGTGGTTAATGAAGTTAAATACTTAGGTGTCATTATAGATAGAAATTTAAATTTTGCAGCACATGTTCTGGGGAAAAAGCACAATTATCTGGGGAAAAAGATAGGATCGAAATTGGGGGCATTTCGTCGAATTAGTATGAATTTGACACCATATATGAAATGTGTTATATACAAAATATAATTGCTCCGTTGTTCGAATATTGTTCGTCTGTATTATTGAGTTTAAACGATTATAATGTGCATATTTACAGAAATTACAAAATAAGGGAATGAGAATTATATTACGGTGCAATTACAGAACAAGGATTGAAAACATTACTTGAGGCATTGCAATTTATTAATTAAGGGAATAATTGAATACAATGTTTGTATTTTGATACATAAAATGATAAATGGAGATTGTCCGGGTTATTTAAGAAACGAGGTAGAGCAAGTAAGAAAGGTGGTAGGAGCACAAACAAGATCAGAGAGAAATATATACGTATATTAAAAGATATAAAGCTAGAGAGGAACAGAAAATGTTTTTACACGATTGGTTTAATGTATACAACAATTTACCTAATGAAATAAGAAGGGAAAGAAAATTTGAAAACTTTAAGAGAGCGCTAGTGCCATATATAGGCAGTGGAGAGAGATAGTGCAATGTAGATGTTTCAGTTTGGCGGTTTGGATAATCAATAAATACGCATTACATTAAATTGTATCATTGTAGCTATTATTGAAGCTAATAAAGATCAATCAGATTCAATCTCTTCCCCCTCCCTTTATTTCTTCCTCATAATACGTACAGCGCGCATACACATTACATACATCCGTGTGCACATAGACGCAGGCGTAACGGGAACAAGTTCGTCGCTGTGTGCCGCGGTAATAGATACCTGATACTCTCTATATAGCGCCTCAAAGTGCCTCTTTCGAAGGCAAGCACAGAGGCCAGGTCAACTCCGCATCACTCTTCGGCACCACAAAAAGATATAAAACAGACCGATCGCTCGTCCGTTTATTCGTTCGTTCGTCGGAACATGAACTATAAATACCTAGGTATATTGATGTAATCGATATTTTTCGGCATTATAAATAAATTCCCGACATGCGCGCGCGCGCGCGCGCGCACGCATAATCTCGGCCCGATTTACCCTGACGAGCTATTATCGGAGGGCGATATATAAAAGGGCAGCAGACAGCCGATAGAGGAGACTTTCGGCGATAATTCCTGCCTATCGGGATCACCGCGTGTAATTCTGCATAATTCTCCCGACAGATGCGAATCTCTGATTCAACTTCTCACAGTAGCCTCGTTTTGTGTGTGTGTGTGTGTGTGTGTGTGTGTGTGTGTGTGTGTGTGTGTGTGTGTGAGATGATTTCCTAGCTAAAGGATAGTCACTCGTTCTAAGCCATGACGGAGCAATCTTGTCGCTTCGATTTCCAAATTTGAATTTCGAATGTGAACTTCGACAGAAAATGGGCGACAACTTTATTGCGATCTTTTCCGATAACGTATAATATAACAGACTACGTATCAGATATGCAAAAACTTATACGTATATTGCGATTATATTACTTTAACGTCTAAAATGTTAGAAAGATATACCTACATGTGATGTGTATTTTCGGTTCACTAAAGAAAGTACATATCTATTTTTAAATCTCAATGTAAATTAATTGAAAATTGCATTTAATTTTGAAATCGCAACGGCAAAGGTGTTTACTTCAAACAAAATGTACGGACTATCAGAAAATAGATTTTGTTATCCAAACGCGGCGTTTATAGTAAGTGGGATAAATTCTCTTCCGCGGAATAATCGAGATAAAATGATACAGAGAATTAGCTTTTTTGTTTTTACAGTGCGCGCTGACGATAATGAATGTTGTCTTTTCGTTTTGCAAACACGTACCTAGATTCCCTGTGGTGATATGAATAATAAGATTCAGTACGACGTTTTGCGTTAAAAGACAGAGCCCACCAGCTCTTATCCTGCGTCATTGTACTTTTTATCACGCTGACGCGTGAATGAAGAATAATAAAAAAACAAGTCGTGTCGAGACATTTACATGAAAGAAACGTAAAATTCTGAGCTGCGACGGAATCTCATCTTTAAATCTTTAGATTTAATCCGGCGTGCGAGAGGCTAAGTTGCCTTCTGCGTTGGCATGGTAAACTGTCGTCCCGAAGCGCGACGTGACAAATATCTGTTATTTACATAAAGCGCACATAAAGTCATGAGACGTGCGATACGGATCCCGCGTATTCGGATTCTGAAGTTTAATGCGGAAGAATATAGTCGAGAGAGAGAGAGAGAGAGAGAGAGAGAGCGCGCGTCTTCTTCCGCGATACACTCGCGAAGAAGGCGGCTCGGTTGAACCACTGAGAAATCATAACATATCGCTGAGAAGTGTTCCACGATAACTGTCTGACATTTGCATGAAATAAGGATTCTAAGCGTAGACGTAATACCGTACTCGGATTCGTGAATTTAATCCGGGCAAGAGTTACGCGCCCTCGTTTACTGAGGGAGAAACGTACAGCGATGTAGGGAGAAAAACACGAAATATTTCTTCCCCTTACTCCCGTATAATGTAATATTTAATTACACGACCATAACTTATTACAGCACCTAACCGTTCTCTTCCGCCATCAGCAAAATAGTCTTGATAATAAGTCACCTTTACATATGTAGCAATAGCTATTCAGCAATATCTATACTTGAAAGTTCCTGCAGTCTTCTCTCCCTCCCTCCCTCCCTCCCTCCCTCCCGGCACAAATCACTCGCGACAGTTTCGAATAAATCGGATACAAAAAATTATTCGTATAAAAATGTCACATTTTTACTTTTCAGAGCCAAAGACCGAGATTTTAGGTGCGCCGGAGCTATTCATCAATCGAGGTAGCACCATCAATCTCACGTGCGTCGTCTTGCAGAGTCCAGAACCACCCGCCTACATTTTCTGGAATCACAACGATGCGGTAAGTTCGATCTATTTCCCGATTCATTATTATTCTTATTTTTATAGTAATCGTACTGTTACGAGAACCGATTTAAGAAACATCCTGAGCTTAAGCGCGCAACATTTACGCGAAACGAATAATACGCAGACGACGCTGCAATATTGCACGATTAGCGAGACCTAGATATATTACCGACGCGCGCGATTCTGGCCAACGTTGACTTTGCACACAGATAATTAATGATGATCCTACTTCCAGAGATATATTCTAATATTACAAGGTAACACGTCGAATAAGTTTCTGCTTCGCCGCCGCGACGACCCAAGTTTCCGCGAGATGAAATTTTCAGCCGAAACTTCCGTCTTTCTTCGTCATGTTTATTGCGTACACAGTTGTTTGAGATTATTATTGTCACTGCTGCTGCTGTTGTTGTTATTACATCCTAAGAATTGTTTGTCATTAACTTTTTACAAATGACAGTTTGAAATAAATACAATACATAATGTCCTAACGATTTATATCTCATTGTTAGATGAGAGAAAGTTTCATTTTCTCCTTTAATTGATACAATCTATCATGTCACAGACTATTTAATTACGAGAAAATTCCTTTATTAAATGGTTATTTTATTAATAATGTGTAAAAATGTAATATGCCTGTAAAAAAAGTACAGGGGACATTTGGGATTAATTATAAAAATTACAAAATTTTAATTTAAAGAATGCATGAAATTTTTATTTTAGAAATCTTTTATTTTTAATAAAAAATATATAGGAAATGATAAAGTTTTCTTTTAGAACGAAACATATGTGTGAAAAATTGATTATTTTGCTCTTTTCGATCGGTATAATTGCTCGAGAAGCCATGATAACACGACTAGCAGAAATTTCCAATTGCCGTATCTGAGAAATCTACCTCTCGCGAATTTTACTGCGGAGTAATAGCAACGAAGAGATGCGTGATAAATGGCCGTACAGGCGTCGGCGAAGGTCGTCCCTAATTAGGTACTTCGCCTGGAACTTCAGGAAGTCGAACAGTTCCGATTAGAGCACTGATAGAGGACGGTAGGCGCACTTAACCACCTGCTGTCATACAAGAATGTTGAGCAGCTTGAAATGTTTCCGTAGCTAAGAATTAATCGAGTGGTATTTGCATCTTTCCGACTGAAATATTTTCGCCACAGTCTCGACCAACAAAGAAAGAGATAATGGGCAATATTTATCCATTCGTGTAATACGAGTATTCTCAGAGTGTTTGCGCGGGTATTTATTATAATTAATATATTATACAGATCGCACACACGAGTTTATAATTAAGCTAACCAAAAATAATATCTAAAAACTTGAGTTTAAGCATTAAAAATATGTTGTAACATGCAAATATATTCTGCTAAAAATTTTCTTTTTCTAAAAAAATTTTTTTCATATTTCACCGTTTAAAACGATGAAGTACTAATGAAATCCAAATAATTTAACAAATAATTATATACGAAATTAATTATCAAACTGAAAAATATATTTTATTATTTTCCTATCTTAATATTTATTTGTAATGAAATCCCTTATCGGCAGCCTTTATCGATATTCTGGAACTCAGGATTTTCACGACATATCTTTCTAGTTTTTAGCACGATAACAAAGTTTTTCTGGCGGATGAATTAAGTATGTGCGCGCGCACAAAGGGGATTATAAAACATTCCGACGATGGTGGCGGCGACTGTTTGCGAACGGCTGACCGACCAATAAATTTTGATAATGTCCTGGTTGGCTGGCTCGCCGCTAAATCGTGAGAGTCGTGGCAAAATTGGTAACGGCACTCAGGAGGTTCCATTAGGCGCATTAAGCCCTGACCGAGAGCTTTGGGACTCGCTTGGGTACGTAGAAACAACGTTCGTTCGCAAGCCTTAAAGAGAACTCCGTCGTGCGTGACTAACGCGTGCAGCCTCGAAGGGTTCTGGACCGTAAATGAGCCGAGAGGGAGACTCCCTAATTCCTCAGATATCATTCTGTCAGTTCCTTCGTCCTTTATCGTGAGGTGGACTATGGAAGATATTGATAATACCCCGTGCGATTAGCGAGAGCCAGATTTATCAGCACCGTGTAAAACAGAATAATGTTGCGACTTTGTGCGTAAATAATTAATGTTTATGCACAAAGTCGATACGTACTCTCAGAATACATTTCGTATCAATGTATTCTCACAGCGCTTTATATATGTAGGCTCCTGTTATCTTAGAAGAGAAAATGGTATTATGGCACCTCAGTTACATTTTACTCAATAACTTTGTTAATAATCAATATTTAAGTTTCAAATTTGACAATTACATTCGTTAAAATGTTGTTGAGTCGATTCTAAACTCAAAGTTATGAAATATTTATTACTTAGGATACTATTAATACAAAATATTGTATAAATGACTCGAAGAAAAAAATAGGTAGTAATGTAGCCTTTCATAAAAATAGCCTTAAAACATTAGTTTTATTTAGAAAACAATATTTAGTTACAAGATTAACAAAAAAGGAAAACATTTTAAAATGTATGCAAATGAATGTATATACATTCACATAATTTCTGCATGTAAGCTGCTCAGTACTAAAAATCTCAGTATTAAAAGTAGTACACGTAATATAAACTATAGATTAACAGTAGAGCAATACAGTCGATTACCAAATAATTATTTTGATATGAAAACCTCGAAAAAGAGGTCGTAAGTCAATATCCAATTAGAGAGCCACATTAGCAAAATGCTATACTATTGTTTAAATTTGCATAACTCGAAATATATGCAGTCAAATAAAATGTTAAATAGTCAAATACTCGTATACACTTAAAAATACATATATTAATGTGATAATACGCTTAAATTTAAGAAAAATGAGGAAGTAGGTGTAATTAAATGCTAAAATGTATCTCAGAAACGTTTCGAAATACTTAAAAGTAGAAATACGTTATAAGTGCTGGCTATCGAGTATTGGTATATTAGCGTGATGATGTAACGGCGAGCTATTGAATAAATAATTCAATTCCTAAAAAAACCTTTTTAAAAAAAGAAAAAATTTACGTCAAGTGCATAAAAAAAGGTGTCGAATACATTCTTCTTGATCAAAAACGGATATGAAATAAATGTAATTAGCCAAGTATTTCACGCAAGACAAATAAGATAGACTAAAAGTAATTAAAACTGTCAACTTGATTATAATGAAGAAAAAAACTTGACGTGCCCCGCATTAAAACGTAATATTTTAAGACCAATATATTTTCGCAGTACGGAAATATTATTTGCGAATTATTAAAAAGATTATTACATACAATATATTTTGCAGATATACACAATACATGATAACAATAATTCAACAAAGAAGAGATGTTAATAATTGCTTACTAATCTTGTAAATGTATTTATAATGTTGTTATATCTAAATATTATCAATATTCAATAAGTCATTAGGATTTGCTATATAATAGCGCAGATATTATGGGAGGCCGCAATACATACACCGGCCATAATACTCCTCTAATATAAGGATGTATATGTCGAATGAATGAAAATATAAGTTCAGAAGATCGAGCTATATTACGTTAATGTTTA